TCGATTGGTCCCTTTCTGATAAACATGGTCCAATTACAAAAAGTTTGTGTTATTTATTTATTCATATAGGATAACAATATTGATGAAGATAGCGAAGCAGAAAAGTTATCACCACTTTTACAGCACAATGTTGAATTTATCGGAAGAAATGCGGCTGGTTTGGCACTTAATATGGTTGATGTTGTGGAAGCCATTGATGATGAAGCAGAAACCGGTCGAGATGAAAGTGTCCAAGAAAAGCAGAAAGAACGGAAATGTGAGTCAATTATTTTTTTAATAAAATATACCTATGTATAGAACTATTCATTTTGTAACGTTTTAAATTTTAGAGTTTTCTTCAAACATTTTTTTTGTTGTTTCTATTTTTTTTGTCATTTAATAGCATTTGTTTTAATTTTTTTTTGTGCCTAAAAATTTATTTTTTCGAAAACTACTTTTAAAAGTTGACTTTTGCATAGCATTTAGCCATCGTCAAAACGATTTTTTTTTGTCAACAGAACGTAAAAGTTTCGTTAATTTGAAGAACCTTAATTTATTGTTATGAACAGATTACAAACACAAAATAATTAACATTTAGTTATGTTATCATTTCATTTCAAGTTTAAATGTAAATTCATAATACACTCAGTGGCATAAAAAACGGATCACCTAATATGATGACCAGTTTCAAACTGCAATAGCTTTTGAAAGTATCGCTCGATTTAAATAAGGTTTTTTTTATTTGAAAGGTCTACCCTTTGCCGATTTCTGTAGGTGCCTCCCCATTTTGGCGCTCTTCAATTTCATCAATGGTGAATAACGCTAGTGCGTGTTTCCGACAGTAATAACGTTTTGTTCTAAATTTGACCAAGGTTGCTTGTATTTGCTCGCTTTCGTATCTTCCTTCTTCATGGTGGTCGTTACCATCATTGATCATGAATGACTGCATTCGATAACATTTTTGGTCTTGTTCTAATAAATAATATTGATTTGTAATGAATATGATTTGAATTTGTAGTGTTACTTTTTTTAAAATGAGCTGAACAGAGTGGTGAATAATATAAAGGATAGTGATCCATCTATGTACACTTTTCTGTTTTAACCATGCTAGTGTCACCTACTAGTGTCTAAAGTATTACTAAGGTGTAATATTAAGGGCGAAACATTGGTATATGAGTTTCTACGGGTAGAACAAATACAATAAAATTTTAATAAAGCAAATTGCGTCAACTATTGTCGTAAAACAGCAATTACCTCATATCAAATATTCTTAAAATCCCTAATGTTTTTTTAACATTCAGGTTATTTAAAAAATTAAAAAGAATGAATAGCAATTTAGAAGGAGGTTTTTAAATTTAATTACCCCTCACTTATTTAACCTTACTATTTTTATTTATCTCATTTTTTTAAATTACAGTATTAATCTAAAAGAATTTTTAATTTTATGTCAGCTAGAGAAGAGCGTGGCGACGATTCCGATTATTACACCCCCGAAGAACCACCAAATCCATCACCCGCGTGCGATTTGTATGAAATGTCGAATAATAATTCGATTGGAAGCACGCCCCAAAGGCTTCCAGGAACACCTTTATCTCACGTTAGCGCTCGAAGTAGCGGCGATAGTTACACCAGCGGTTCTAGTACACGTCATTTACTCGCATTGGCAAATTTTAACGGATCTTCTAACGAGAAAGCCGTTAATATTTGAAATTGCGAGATAACTGGTGTGATTTACGCATATTGTGAATCAAAGTAATTGATATATTGAGAATATTATTAAGAGAAAATTAATTATAGGTAAGAATAATTTTTTTTAATCTCATTTACAATTTTTTAAATTAATACTCATCGTTTTTAAGAAATTAATTTTATCAATAATTTTAATTTTGGTAAATGGAATCGTTTTTATGGTGATATTTAGACCTTTATTTCCGGTTGTAGGATATTTATGAATTTATCAATTTTGTATTGATCTTTATTTACGTGATAATAAAAGTAATAAAAAGAAAATTTGAGTCGTTTTTTTTTTGTTATACCTTATTTATTATCATTTTGAGTGGGTTCTATGTGTCTTTAGTCAATAGATCAACTGTCAACATAATAATTCCTAGAGGATAGAGGAAACAACACATTCCCGGATGGAATAATAATAAGGATTCAGCTACTTCAATATCTTGACAAACAACGGCGAGAAAAATGGAAACAAGTCAACACTGGATTTCAAAAATTTAAGCAAAGAAGAAGGTGGCCTTTGTGGACTTTAAAGCTGCGTATGACATAGTGTGGAAAGAGGGGCTTGGAATAATTGTGTCACCAAATCAGCCCAATAGTTCGGAATACTTTTGAAAACTGAAGGCTAACAATCAAATGGTTTATGAACGGTTTGTCACCGTGCTTCTGCTTGCATAACAGGTCCGTAGTTGTAGGGCATCAAGTAATCTGCACTTGGTACGAAGTGACGCATTTAGTCCCTCAGTTTATGTCGCATTAATTAAGTCGTAATCATACGGCCCATGTGCCCTTTTGCACTTGCCGCAATATTCTTCATGAAAACCTTATAAGTCTTTCTTCATGAATTGAAAAAAAGAAATGATTGGCATTAGTCGAATTGCGGCATCTAAACAAATTATTGACACATTACCGCCAAACTGCACTATTTACTTCGGTGGTGAAGGATATTTCCATCATTCCGGCTGTGTTAACAAGTAGATCCTGCGGTATTGGTGTCAAAACAACAACTCAACGTAGATTTAACAGCGGCCTAAGAAATGTCCAAGCCTTTATTTTCCGTGTTGCCAAATGTTATTTGGCGAATATGCCATCTACGTATCGTAGTCATAAAATTGGTTCCTAAGACTTGGTATACATATTGAAGATGTCAGGTGCTAATAGCGACTCCATGCTGGTTGTTCTGTATAAGTTTTGTCAACCGATTTGGTGGATCTGTTGGCATCAAGAGCTCTTTATATGTCATCAGTTAAAATGAAGAAAAATGAATGATGGAGACAAAAATGCAGGTCTAGTAATAATGAATAGAATAGATTATATAACAAAAACAAATGATTTCCTTAAAACTAACAATTATACACTAATTAAAAAAGATCCTACCAACTGTTTCCATATACAACCCAAAAAAGTAATAAAAGAATGTAGCAACACCTTGACAAAGTTCATTTCCATACATTGGAGTTAAATTGTAAGTGTACAATTTAACTCCAAGGAACCCAAAAACATCTAGATTGTACGCACTACCAAAGCTACATAAAGAAAACACACCCATGCGGCCGATCATCTCAAGCATTGATTCTAGCACATATAGAATAGCAAAGTTTTTGGTTCAATTTTTTAAAATTCATGTTCCCTTCAAATCAAAATTTAGTATCAACAATAGACAAAACGTAATAGAACTACTTCAAAAATCTGCTATACAGAAGGAATCATTAATCATTTCATTTGATGTTACAAACTTGTACTCAAATATACCCATAAAAGAATCTTTAAATATTATAAAAGAATTTTTAAACAACAGAATGATAATAAAAATGATATTGACAATATCCTTAAATTACTCAAAATCTGCACTGAACAAAACTTTTGTAAATTTGATAACAAGATATATGAATTTAATGACGGTCTCTCAATGGGATCACCACTCAGTGGACTTATCTCAGACATATTTTTAAATAAATTGGAAGAAGATCTTATTATAAATCCAATAAATTCACAATATGAAATATAATGACATGGTTACGTTATGTTGATGACGTTCTAGTTATAACAAGGCAGAATGATTTAAAAATGATTGATGATCTGTACAAATATATTAATAACCTTCATAAAAACATTACATTTACATCGCAAATGGAAAGAGACAACAAGCTAAACTTTTTGGACTTTACTCTGATTAGGGTAAAGTAGTAAATCGCTTCCGATATTTACCGAAAACCAACACAGAACAGCAAAGTTATTCCGCATGATTCATACCACGATTATACACAAAAATTAGCAACATTAAGATCATATATACACCGAGCATTTAATTCAGACTTAGATCAGAGTAACTTTGAAAAAGAAATATCAATAATACAAATAATAGCAAAAAATAATAATTACCCCGAAAATACAGTACAAAAATTGATAGANAGAATTTTTAAACAACAGAATGATAATAAAAATGATATTGACAATATCCTTAAATTACTCAAAATCTGCACTGAATAAAACTTTTGTAAATTTGATAACAAGATATATGAATTTAATGACGGTCTCTCAATGGGATCACCACTCAGTGGACTTATCTCAGACATATTTTTAAATAAATTGGAAGAAGATCTTATTATAAATCCACAATATGAAAATATAATCACATGGTTACGTTATGTTGATGACGTTCTAGTTATAACAAGGCAGAATTATTTAAAAATGATTGATGATCTGTACAAATATATTAATAACCTTCATAAAAACATTACATTTACATTGGAAATGGAAAGAGACAACAAGCTAAACTTTTTGGACTTTACACTGATTAGAGAGAAGGATAAGATCGCTTTCGATATTTACCGAAAACCGACACAGAACAGCAAAATTATTCCGCATGATTCATACCACGATTATACACAAAAATTAGCAACATTAAGATCATATATACACCGAGCATTTAATTCAGAATTAGATCAGAGTAACTTTGAAAAAGAAATATCAATAATACAAATAATAGCAAAAAATAATAATTACCCCGAAAATACAGTACAAAAATTGATAGACAAGAAACATTTTAAAATGAATTTAAAACAAATTTGATCTAGAAACAACAATAGATATTAACAAACCAAATAAATTCAAAACAATAACTTACCCAGGTACAATATCACACAAATTGAAAAAACTTTTAAAAAATATAACATAAATTTAACATTTAAAACTACACACACTATTCAAAATACTCTTGTTAATAACAAAGATAAATTAGATATCTTACACAGAAAGTGGCGTATACCAAATAGAATGTAATAGTTGTCAAGCCACATATATCGGAGAGACTGGACGTAATTTCAAAACTAGAATCAAAGAACATCTAACAAAAGAAAATTTGGCATTCGGAAGACACATAAATTTTAATAATCACGATTTCGATATAGAGAAAAATACAAAAATTTTACACAAGAGGAATAAAGGCTATTTATTAGAAATATTGGAAATATACGAGATAACTAAATTTAAAAAACAGAATCCTGACAAAATAGCATTAAACGAACAAATAAATCACATTATTCCTCCATTATACAGACAGGGTGATTTACATAAGAACCGACACAGAGCAGGGGCATGTAGAGGACAATAAATTAAGATGATTTAAAATAACTTACCTCTATACTAAGTTGTACACCTGAGGAGTTATATTACTTCAAAGTTGGCTCTTAAATTTTTAAAAAGTTCAATATCTTCGTAATAAATTAAGCTAGAAAAACCAAATTTGGTATACGTTATGAGTGTACTAAGAGTATTAGTTGGTAGCAAATTGAACTCAATTGAGGCATTTCAAAGTGTTGATTAAGGGTGATGGTACCTTAAATTTTGACAGATCTTTTTTAACCTGTTGACGTATTTTATACATTACTACTTCATTTCATGTGGAATTTAATTCTAAAACTTTTTTTACTCTTATTATTTTTTAAAAAACTTTGTCGTTTTCATAAAAAACTTAAATAACTAGAGATAAATTGCGTTAAATCATCTTAATTTATTGTCCTCTACATGTCCCTGCTCTGTGTCGGTTCTTATGTGAATCACCCTGTATAGTAATTTAAAAGATTCTTTTAAAAATCTTTAACACTACCCTTCCTTTTCTATATTCTACTTGAAAAACAAATGTATATATTCTCGAAATAGTACTTGTGTTATTTTATTTTAAGAAATGAGATGTTAAGTCATCAACGACAAGGTAAATTTTTTAAACGAAACATTGCTTTATCTATTTGACCGTCATGCGCCTTTGCGCACTACTTCTATTCGCAAAAACTATTGCCCCTGGGTTACCGATACCATTAAAGTTCTTATGAAACTTCGTGATCAGGCTTACGGTAGATTCCGCCTGAGCAGGTGCCCAATTCATTTCCAATACTATAAACAGTTGCGTAATTATACTAATGCTGCCATACGAAGGGAAAAGCAAGCATTCTTGGAACATTTGTTTCAGGAACGGTCATCCCGTGACCTCTGGAAAAGCTTCAGGAAACTTGGGGTTGTAAAAAATAAGACTCAGATACTTGCAGGTACAGGATTCGATGCTGATTCGATTAATAATTTCTTTATTAGTTCTCAGACTGACTCTGCTGGGGATATAGAATTGATTGAGTTTTATTGGAATAACACGCTTACAAGTCACAGACAAACTTTATTTCTCTCTTACAACTGAATCTGAGATTTTAAGCATCTTAAGGGGAATAAAATCTAACTCAACGGGTATTGATGGCATAACTGCTAAAATGATTGTTTTGTGTTGTCCCACTATTTTACCTTTCTTGTGTCACGTTGTTAACTACTCAATCGAGCATTCCGTATTCCCTGATGTCTGGAAATGTGCCTTGGTCACCCCAATCCCTAAAACTTCTAATCCCCGGGAGTTGAGTCATTTACGCCCTATTAGTATCTTACCCCTACTCTCCAAAGTGTGTGAAAGAGTCATAGCGGAAAGACTCCGACATCATCTCGATTTGTTTGATATCTTACCAGATTGTCAGTCTGGTTTTCGTGCGGGTTTTAGTAGTTCTACTACGCTGTTGGCGGTGACGGATGAAATTTTAAAAGCTATTGATAATAAACAAGTTACAATCTTAATTCTTTTGGATTTTTCTAAGGCATTTGACCGAATTCATCATGAAACTTTACTGGCCGTGCTGCACTACATTGGTTTATCTGAAGAATCTATCCAATTTATCCAAAGTTACTTATCTAATCGAAAACAGTCAGTGGTACTTAATGGTCAAACATCTGGGGCTGTGGATATTGTTTCTGGTGTCCCACAGGGGTCTATTTTGGGACCTCTTTTATACTTACTTTCCACCATTGGTTTTGCGGATGCTATTGATTATTGTACACCATATATATATGCTGATGATACACAGCTTCTTTATTCCTTTAATCCATACAATTATGAGACAGCGGAAAGAAATATAAATCATGATTTACATAAGATTGTGCAGTTTGCCGCTAAACTCTGTCTTCATATAAACGCTTCCAAGTCATCGGCCATGGTTTTTGGAGACAAATCCTCTGTAGAGTTTGTAAAATCCAATCTTCATTTGGTGATTGGCGATAATGAGCTGGTGTTCGGGGACAATGCTGAAAGCTTGGGTATTATTATTGATGAACGTCTCCGTTTCTGTGAACATGTTCAGTCTCTTCTACGGAAAGCCTATGCTACTTTAAGGTTGCTTTATAATAATAGGTACATCTTAAACCAAAAATTGAAACTACAGCTTTGCGATGCTCTTGTTTTGTCTATATTTAATTATGGTGACGTTATTTACCATTCATGTCTTGATAGTGTACACTCGGATAAGATTCAAAAACTTCAAAACTCTTGCTTGCGATTCATTTATGGTATCCGTAGAAGAGAGCGCATATCACACGCACTAAGTAGTGTGGGCTGGATGGCTAAATATGTCACGACGTAGAACTCTTCACTGCCTGTGTCTCTACCATAAAATTATCTTGCATAAAAGACCTCCTTATTTGTACAATAAAATTAAATTTCGTACGGATGTTCACCACATTAATGTTAGGCATAGGCATGCCTTGACGATACCTCTTCACCTCCTAGAAATGTTTAAACGTAGTTTCTCTTATTGTGTGCCTAACATGTACAATCGGTTATCTGATTCAATTAAGAATCTTAGTCTGCTTTCCTTTAAGGGCATGGTTAAGGAGTTTTTGGGTGGGTGAGTGAGCAATGGAAGGATTTTTAAAATTTTTTTTTTCTTTTTTGTATACGATTACTGTCTTACTTTGCGCATTTAAAATTCATTTAAAATTTATTTAAATATTATTATGACTTGAATCATATAACTATATTGTTTTGATTATTATTATTTGTTGTATTTTTTTTTTCGATGGGTCATTGAAAAACAGGACGACCTCGGATTTTCTCTGGTCGCTCTGACATGACTCTTTTCGATTGGAGTTGTATTTTCTTCATATATTGCTATGTACTTATGTATTTCGTTTATTACCTATCAATAAATATTATTATTATTATTATTATTGTGTTCGTATAAAGATGTGTGGTATTTGTTTTAACTTTTAAGTAATAATTTGACATAAGTTACAAACTAAATAAGGAATTTTCTATTTTATCGTCTAAACCTTTTAATATGTAGGTGTCTTCTGAAGATGGTAATTTAATTACCGAAACCGGTCTACACAAAAATAAATAAAAAAGATATCACTTTGTATATGATCATTTTATTTTAAATAAAATTAGTGAATATCAAGAATTCATCTATATACATTTAAAATTTTTAATTCTGAATGTTGAATCAGCAATAAAAAAGATTAATTGGGTCATTTACAAAACATAACGACGCTTTGGAACGTATGCGTTCTATTTTAGTGTTATGTGACAAATTTAGGAGGATCCCTCTAAATTTTCCGAGTTATTATTTTTGGCAATCAACTCCGAGGAGGTGTGTCTAGGTCGCTGACACTTATAATAACATATGTGCCAGTTAAGAGAGCGTTCGTGACCTTCCAAAATCACTTTCGTTTGAATAATACCTACTTAATATTTTTGCGTGGTTACAAAAACTATTTTTAAGTGTTTTTTATTTTTATCAATAAAACTAAAATTCCAACAAATTTAATTCTAATAAATTAAAATAAATTTTTCAAATTCGATTAAAAAAATATTAAATGTCATTAATTTTTTTAAAAATTATTATTTAGAATTTTTAATCGTGTAAATTGGTTGAATATAGCGATGCCGTTAAATTACTCACCCAGTATTCTACTCAATGCTTAATTGATTGATAAATACTTGGCAAAAATCCAATGCATCTTGGCACAGTGTCATAGAACCATATAAGGATAGATAGGACTAAAAAAAACGAACGTTAAATTTCTTTTAACGATTCGAAAGCGATCGATAATCGTTTGACATGATCGTGTGTTCCAAATTACACGCGGAGTCCTCAATCTTTCTTTATACCGTTTATTTTTAGCAACTGTTTGAAATTCTTAGAAGAGTTTTTAGCTCTTATTTTTACCATACTCAGCATTGGTCCAAATGAAATCCAAATTTAGAACAACATGCTCTCCACGTTGTTAGTACAATAGAAATAGATATAAATGTAATAATTAATTCCATTAATAAATATTTCGCAATAAATTATATCATGCTCTCTTTTATGCGTAACCACATAAATGGAGTGAAATTCATAGGTTAAATTAAACAATTCTTAATTTATTATATATACAAGCAAATAAAGAAACCTAAAATGAATCACCACGGTGTTGAAATGAACGCATTTATTTAATTTTTTAAATCAATTATGTAAGCTCTAAGATTTTTTGGTAAACTAATTTAAAATCCTAAGAAATCCTGTTTAAAAATAATCTTAAAATAAATAAATAAATGTTTTCGTAGAGTGTGTGTTGCCCTGGGAAAGGCATCGTCAAGTGCTGCCTTATTTGGACGAGTTGGAAGAGTTCTGGCTCCCTACCATAATGCTCTCCATACATGGGCCATCGATACTATGAATAGCCAGCCGTAGGAATAATATAAAAAGAGTGATCGGCCCACACGGGGACGCACTGCACACGCCGAACGGGTCGTTACTCGTTTTCAAGTTTCGTTCGATAAGAGGGAGTTCGAACGTGGACGGCCGCAAGTCTTCACGGCTGACAAAACATTTTAACTACAACTATTATAAGTGAGTTGATCGTGTAATAGTGTACTTGTGCATTTTTAAGTCGTTCTTTTAAAACAAAGTGTTCTTCATATATTTCATTAACGGTTGAGTAACCTTTTTCAAAATTTCTTTTTCTTAGTCATCAACCCAACCCAATCCAATCCAAGACAACATTATCTTTTAGATCATTTTTTTGCAACACTATTTCAATATTTAAGCAATCTAAATTAACAATTTCTTTTTAAATTTTAGTAATCATCAAATAATATCAAAATGTGTGACGACGACGTGTCAGCTCTTGTGGTAGACAATGGATCCGGTATGTGCAAGGCCGGATTCGCTGGAGACGACGCCCCTCGTGCCGTATTTCCATCAATCGTAGGCCGTCCAAGACACCAAGGTGTGATGGTCGGTATGGGTCAAAAAGATTCCTACGTAGGAGATGAGGCCCAAAGCAAACGTGGTATTCTAACTTTAAAATATCCGATTGAGCATGGCATTATTACGAATTGGGACGACATGGAAAAGATCTGGCACCACACCTTCTATAATGAACTTCGCGTAGCTCCCGAGGAACATCCCATCCTTCTCACCGAAGCCCCGTTGAATCCAAAAGCAAACAGAGAAAAAATGACTCAGATTATGTTTGAAACTTTCAATACCCCCGCGATGTATGTTGCTATCCAAGCTGTACTTTCATTGTACGCTTCCGGTCGTACCACTGGTATCGTATTGGACTCTGGTGATGGTGTCTCCCATACAGTACCGATTTATGAAGGTTATGCTCTTCCACATGCTATTCTTCGTTTGGATTTGGCTGGTCGTGATTTAACCGATTATTTGATGAAGATTCTTACTGAACGTGGTTACTCCTTCACCACGACGGCTGAACGTGAAATTGTTAGGGATATTAAGGAAAAACTTTGTTATGTCGCTTTGGACTTTGAACAAGAAATGGCCACCGCCGCATCATCTACTTCTCTTGAAAAGAGTTATGAATTACCCGATGGTCAAGTTATTACCATTGGTAACGAAAGGTTCCGTTGCCCAGAAGCTCTCTTCCAACCATCATTCTTGGGAATGGAATCGTGTGGTATTCATGAGACTGTATACAATTCTATTATGAAATGCGACGTTGATATTCGTAAGGATTTGTACGCCAACACTGTACTTTCTGGTGGTACTACCATGTATCCAGGTAAATTCATTAATCTTAAAATTAAATTAAAACTCATACATTTAATATTTTTATAGGTATTGCTGATCGTATGCAAAAAGAAATTACATCCCTCGCTCCCTCAACAATTAAAATCAAAATTATCGCTCCACCAGAAAGGAAATATTCAGTATGGATCGGCGGCTCCATTTTGGCTTCATTGTCCACCTTCCAACAGATGTGGATTTCGAAACAAGAATATGATGAATCAGGACCCGGAATTGTTCACCGCAAATGCTTCTAAATCTTATACTTTTTCACATAACAACGAAAAGCTCTTCACCATTTATATTATTAAAAAAAAATTCTTCACGTTTAGATATTATTGTTATTACCTATGACTATTGTATTTCGTATAACCGACGAACGGAAGTGAAGCACTGCCAAAAAAAGATGATTGAATCGTAAAGTTATAAATATTTATTATTAATAAAAAAATCGTTTGGGATATTTCGAAAACGTGCCATATACGTTATTATAGTACATAAATACCTAAAATAAGTCATACCATTGTATCATTATAATTTTTTTTGGATAAGATTATTTATTGACTTGATATTGTATATTGATGGAAGACAAAGACAATTGTACCAATAAAGTATAATTTTTCTTAAACTTTTTTTATTTAATTTAATTTGATAATTGTAAGTATAGACTTTAAGGTTGATCAAATTGTTGGTTTAATAGGAATAAAAGAGATTGTACAGGATAAAGGAAGCCTTATGACCGTTAAGAGAATTATAGTATTTCGGGGTGAATAAAATTAGGAACAAGTTTAAATGTAAATGTTTGTGTCTATTTATGTCATCAACTGTACGACCTCAGTGACGAATTTTATTTTTTTAACATGTTTTTTTAATGAATTACTCAAGAAAACATCTGGCTTGTAAACAACTCCCGCTGAGTAAAATATTGGGTTACATCTCGCATAAAACACACATCTGGTAAATGATTATACAGGAAAGGGTGAATACAATAGCGAATTTAAATTTAAAGTTCTTGATAATTTAGAAAACTTTTAAGTTTAATGAAGAAAAGATTCACTTACATGTACTATTATTTAGTACTCCACACTGCAGATAATAATCAAGTTCAACCCCAAGAGGATTTGTTCATTGAATACAACTTTATTAATAACTCCTTGTGGAAATATCACCAATTGTTAAAGTATTCTCTTTTTAATGTAACAAGCAGATTTGAAAAATCGCTTTTAGCTTTTGAGAAATAAATTTTTGAAATGATCTACAATTTTTTCGAATTTTGCAATTTTCGCCGATTAAGTTTTAAAAATTCGTATAAAATCCATTTCTTGGAATATGAGTATGAAAATTTCCCAAAGTGTTAATAAAAGTGTCCTCTTTCCAATGAACCAACACGTTTTGAGAAATAGCTTTTAGTTTTTGAGAAAACAATATTTGAAGTTTTGATAAAATGTTCGATGTTGCAATTTTCATCGATAACTTTCAAAATTCGCTATAGAATTAATTTTTTGAAGGATCCTTGTGCAAATATCACCAATTATTAATTAAAGTATCCTCTTTTTAATGCAACACGCGGTTTTCAAAAATCGCTTTTAGTTCTTGAGAAATAATTTTTGAATTGATCGACAATTTCTTCAAATTTTGCAATTTTCACCGATTAAATTTGAAAAATTCGTATAAAATCCATTTCTTGGAGTATGAGTATGAAAATTTCCCAAAGTGTTAATAAAAGTGTCCTCTTTCCAATGAACCAACTGGTTTTGAAAAATAGCTTTTAGTTTTTGAGAAAACAATATTTGAAGTTTTGATAAAATGTTCGATGTTGCAATTTTCATCGACAACTTTCAAAATTCGCTATAAAATTAACTTCTTGAAGGATCCTTGTGGAAATATCACCAATTGTTAATTAAAGTATGCAACAAGCGGTTTTCAAAAATCGCTTTTAGTTTTTGAAATATAAATTTTTGAAATGATTGATAATTTCTTCGAATTTGCAATTTTCGTCGATTAAGTTTTAAAAATTCGTATAAAATCCATTTCTTGGAATATGAGTATGAAAATTTCCCAAAGTGTTAATAAAAGTGTCCTCTTTCCATGTAGAAGACCCTCAGCTCTTTAATCAAAAGGAACTGAACGATTTGGTTCAAGATCTAAAACTTTCGAAAGTGTAAGCTGAACTAACTCTTCTGGTCAAGGCTGCAACAACGAAACCTTCTAGCTCTAGGGACAAAAATTCCATGTTTTAGATCAAGAGGTACTTCTTTCGCTCAATATTTTGACATGCCTTTGGCCTACACAGTGAACATGAAAGAAACTTATGAAACCATACCTTCTCTGCTAGAGGCAATCAAATATGCGGATCATGAGTGGCAACTTTACTGTGATTTAAAAGTTGTTGGCAATCTTTACAGGTTTACAGAGTGGGTTTGCGAAATATTGTTGCTTTTTGTGCCTATGGAACAAGCGTAACACAAGAAATGGCCTATAAGAAAATCATATTTTGCTGGAAAAGAAAATGTGATAAACACTCCATTGGCAAAATCATTTTGCTTCCGCTTCATAGCAAGTTGGGCCTTGTGAAGAACTTAGTAAAAGCTTTGGATAAAGGAGGACAAACCTTCAATCATTTGAAAGAAAAGTTTCCCTAATTGAGTGAAGCAAAGCTGAAAGAAGGTATATTTGTTGGGTCACAAATAGGAAAACTATTGAAAGACTTTGATACCATACTCACAAATATTGAATTAAGTGCTTGGTCATCTTTTAAAGCAGTTGTAAAGATTTGGGTAACAGAAAACATGGTACCTGTGTTTCCATTGTAAATAATTTTTTTTGTTGTATTTCTTGGTTGTCATATTTTAGTCAATATTTGTCAGTAGTATTTTTGATTCTGCTGTTTATCTAGGAAATGTGACGTGATAGACAGAAACTGATTTTACCAGTGAACTCAGCATGGCATAATTAGTAAAATCCACCCACTTAGAAAGCAGATGCAGAAAAAAGTTTAAATTTATTGACAAGTGTAATAAGAAGGTTTTTAGTTCCCTACCGGGCGCCATCCTACATGGCGGTAGGGGAATGCCTCCCACATATAGATGGTACCGGGGAAATCAAATGCCCGGGGCCGATCAAAACTAGCTAATGAAAGGTAACAGTATCATTAGAATATTTCCCCTTACATTCCGCTTTCTTGAAAAGGGAAACCGCGTCTGGAACAGCTACACTAGTTTCATACTGCGAGGTGGAGAAAGAAAACGGAAGTCCTACTACACTAACCATTTAAAAACAATTTAAATGGCTGAAATAAATTGAAATACAGCCCTCAGTTCTGGACTCCTTTAAATGGGGAGAGGGTGCTAAGAATTCCCACAAGTCTAAACAAACTTGAAATTTTTAACAACAAAAAAACAACATTGCAATACGGACGCAGTCTATACCTATGTATAACGAAAAGATTGCGCGAATTTAGAAGCCGATATGCATTGCCTAGGCATAGACATAATGGGATTAAGCGAAGTAAGATGATCAGGATCTGGAAGAAGAAAAACTCAAAATGGCACTTCGGGGACGATAAACCCAGCGACCACCGTGGAATAGGTGTCTTCATGGAATAGTTACCAATAATTGAGAGAGTCATAATAATAATAAAGATCTGCAAATTCCAGCGCTCTGTGAACATAATACAGGCATATGCTCCAACAGTTGACAAAGAGACGGTAGAATTTGACAAATTTTACGAATACCTAGAAATTGCTATCTAACTTACTAAAAAGGGTGAAACAATTATGACAGAAGGTTTTAACGCCAAAATTGTTAAAGGTGTTGTGAAAGAAGTATGCAGCCATGGACTTGGTACGCAAAATGGAGGAGGGAGATTGATCGAGAAACACATACTTCAAACAACATCCTACGCGACTAAACATAGAAATCACCTGCGAATAATAAAAATGACTTATGTTAGTACGAAATCAGATCGACTTCATGGTGTTAAAAATCTATTTAATGAGGAATATACAACATGGAGCAAATATGATTACAATCCCTGTGGTAATGTAAATACATGAAAATCCAACATTTCAAACCTCTCAAAAAACAAATTTCATTAATGAAAATACATAAACGTAAAATTACCAACCCAGACCTCCGTGTTCAAGTAGTAGAGAAATTCGATTCTTGATTGCAAAGAATGCAAGAAATAAACTGGGATCAATTCAGAATAACATTTGAAGACACCCGAAACACTGATTGCCTATTCATCCCTTATACAAGCAGCAACAAAAAAACAGCAATGGATAAATTACGAAATTCTACCACTTATAAACAAGAGATGATTGCAGAAAAATAAAGATCATAATAAATATAAAGCAATAAACAAGAAAATTCGAAGAGGTTGTCGAGAAGTCAAGGAAAGATGGCTTAAAGAACGTACAAGTCGATGTTCTCGCATACTTTGCAGATTACAGAAAAGTCCACTACTTTATACAATACCAAAACCTTGAAGAGATCCAAAGATCTGTGGGAATGCTCGCGATAGATCTCTGTGTAATCACCAATTTGTATTGGAATCAATCCGCGGAAATTCGAGTGGATGATGAGACATCACAACAAATGGTGATTTTAAAGAGAGTTACACAAGGCTGTGTATTGTCGGCATTGTTATTCAACATATCAAAACTCAGAGATCATAATGAAATCAATATAAAGTTTTCTGCTCTATCCGGTGGTATACAGGGTGATTCACATAAGAACCGACACAGAGCAGGGACATGTAGAGGATAATAAATTAAGATGTTTGAACGCAACTTATCTCTATACTAAGTTGTACCTCTGAGGAGTTATAAGCCTTCAAAGTTGCATCTTAAATTTTTAAAACATTGAATATCTTCGTAATACATTAAGCTAGAAAAATCAAATTTGGTATACGTTATGAGTGTACCGAAGGTATTAATTGGTAGCAAGTTGAGTAATCAGGGGTTATGGTAGCATGCCCCATTCTATTTGCATAGCATCGGTCTCCGTCGTATAGTAAGCCCTTGTCAGCCTGCAATAGGAAAGGCTTTCTTCACTAAATCTCTGCACCATACAGCAATCTAGGCAACATTACCCTGTCCACAATAATCTTTCTAAACTCATTCTTCACTCCCCACCTTATCCCTGCCAGCACTGTCATTCTTCCAAGCATACCTTGAACATATCTCACAAGTTTGATGAACAGTAGCGCCGCATGTCTTAATACCGGGCTCTCACCTTCTTACACTCGCAAAATATGTCCTACAAGATCTCCTTGGTATATTTCATCTTAAATCCCGCCTCCCATTCTTTACATACCTTCCAGACTCTATCCTACATTTTTTCCTCGTACAGTCTGCCATACCATCCTGAGCTCGTATCGTCCCTTTTCTAAATGCATACTCCATCATCCAATAGCGCCTTCCTCTCAACAAAAGTCCTTACCTAAAGCCAAAGCCAGGCACGTAGGTCGTATTTCCCCATTAGGTTTTGGCAGTCATACCACCCTCGATAGCTACCACACTTCAAGAAATAGTATCTCTAGAATGTACTTCTTGAATAAATTTGAAATAGTATCTTTCTTTGACCTTTGATTTACCACTGCCATCGTCACCTTACTTGGTTTGTTCCCATATACTCTCCACACTTTTCCCAACCGTTCTTCTTCACCATTTCTCTTAGTCGTTTCGCCTCTTCTTCTTACTTAGCTTATCCGACTACCAACTCATTCTTGTTCTTGCACCTCAACAATTACTACACGGCTGATTCACCGATCTGGTCTAAACATTTACCCTTTCTTCTGTTCTTCTACTCCTAGAAATTCTTCACCCAGCAACCTTTTTCGGCTTTGCATTATGAAGCCTTGAGATGTCCAGTAGGTCTTGAGATGGCTTCTGTATCGTCACTACATCCTTCATCAATCAATCAGATTGAACCATATTGAATGGTATGGTGGTTGAAATCATCATCACCCATCTTCATGGGCTGATCCATAAAATTATGATTGCTATCATAGTTCTTGTCGTTATTCTGAATTCTAATTTTATTCTAATTATTGTAACTAAAATGTTACTTCTTATATCTTATAACTATTTACATTATTCGTCAACAACCAACAACCGAAATTATAATGACCCACATGAAAGTAAAAAAAAACTGCGTAATGTAGTGGGTTTTGTTAAAGCATCGAATACGAAAAAATTAAAATAAAAATTGAAATTATTGCCATTTGTTTCTGTTTCTCCGTTCTCAACTAACTAATTTTGTGGGTTACCTAAATAAAATTGTCATAATTTTTGTCATAATTTATTTGTCACAAATTTTTACGGTTTTTACGGTATTTTTTTTGTTATCGGTATACATCAGTAATATGTGAAAAGGGGTGTGCACCAAAATTAAAAGATACCTGCAAAGGTAAAGTTACCCGTAAGAATATATTTTTTGTGGATGTTAGCAAAAGTTTAGTGGATTAATTACAAGAAATCGGTTAAGATCGGTTAAAAAGAAACCCATATGGCGTCGCAATTAATAGAGACAAAGTCTTTAGTGCAATTAAAAACATGGGATCTACTCCCCACGGATGTTCTCGCGTTGATTTTTAGTTTTTTGCCACGAAGAGATCGTCTTTCCTGCTCCATGGTTTGTATGTTATGGAAAGAAGCAATCAATTCACCGCAACTTTGGAAACATATGGTTATAATTATCGATAAAGATCTTTTAAGTAATTTAATATTTTTATTACCTTTTTATTTGGATTTTTAAACAATTTTTGACACGAATAGCCAAAAGATGTTTGTTAGGTAATATTTAAAATTTAATCAATACCTACTGTTGATAATTACTAACAATTAGAATTGTAATGCTAAAACTATTAACAATTTTGATAATTAAATCATTTAATTTTTTCAAAATCCTAAAACATTATCAAAGTTTTAGATCATTTTCTAAACAACTGTGAAATATAAACAAGCTAAGTGGTTGAAGGTTTGCATGGATTCTAGTGCCAACAATTTATGGTATCCTTATGGTGCCTATGGTATCATGTGCATGAAAAGTATGTGTTATACAAACTCAAATACTGCGTTATCGATGGACTGGGACCAAAACACAATTCTACAAGTTGTTGAAATAATTATCAATTTTGTTGTGCACTGGTTTAGCAAAATTATAAGCAGCGAGACTGCGCGAGTTAAGATAATCCTCTTGGTGCACAACATAACAAGGTTCATGAGTGAGATGAGCAAAGTCCTCAAATATCCAAGGAGATTCACCTAGCTGGAGCTTCGCTACCGTTGTAAGAAAACATAAAATCAAGTGTTTGATCATGAACATTTACAAATTAATAATTTTGACCTAGTTGGCCCAATATGTTAGATACCTGAGATATTCTAGTTTCTATGAACTCCAAAGTTTTTCTTCCTGCTATACATTGACATGACCATTTTTTATGAAAAACGCCTACAATTAAATTTAGAAAAGTGGTAATTAATTAGTACATTATTGGTGTAATCATCAAATCAACTACTTTAAAACGCTTGGGACCCTTACAAAGCCTGATAATGAAAAGAACTCAGAAAACGCAATAACAAACGAAATAGTTTAATGGTTTATTGATGTTTCTATAATCAGGACCAGATTTATATTAGAACTTAATCGTGGCAGCATAAAGATTTTAATGGGAGTCTGTACAGGGCATTGTTGGCTAAAGGGGCGTCTTTGATGATGTTGAGAAGCAACTAGGATTACAGAATGACTGAATAATAGAGCATGATTTATGTCGTTGTCCTGTAGTCACTCGTGCTAGATTATCCTTTATTGGTTGCTTCTTGCACACTGAATTTGTAAATAGCTATTGGTACAGTTGCTTGATATGTAAATTAGTAATTGTAATTGGCTCTGTAGGCCTCTTGTTTTCAGCGATAACTCATTGAACATTATGTGATGTACAAATTGTGTTAGTTAGTGTTCATTAGAAGAGATTGTACTTCTTTAGTTTGAAGTATGAGGTTTGAAGAGATCTGCACTGGATGCTGTTTTATCTCATGAGAAATACAAAATATTATGTTAAAAGAGATCACGTGAGAATTACATCTACTTTGTGTTACTAAATACTTATTTTGACAGTTCTTGAGCTAATAACGATAATACTATTCCATTAGGACATCTATGAGATATAGAGGATATTACATTAAACCTTACAGCATTTACCTATGCTAGTACATTTGATGAAAACTTGTCCAAGAGATTATTTATGAAGATAACAAATAGCAAATGACGCAAAGTGGGAAATATTTCAGCCATTATAGTACACGTAGTTGTTTCATAATCTTAGAAAAAAAGAAAAAAGTTGATAAGATCAACTTATTTGGATCCAAGAAACAAAATGAACTTTTTTGATGCTGATTTAACTAACGAAGCAACTATAAAAAGAGGATACTTTAATTAATGATTGGCTTTTTTTGACAAGAATCCTTCAAGAAATGAATTTTATATCGAATTTTAAAAGTTATCTATGAAAATTATATCAACATCGAAAATTTTATCAAAACTTCAAATATTGTTTTCTCAAAAACTAAAAGTTATTTTTCAAAACAGGTTGGTTCATTGGAAAGAGGACACTCTTATTAACACTTTGGGAAATTGTTTAACTCATATTCCAAGAAATGGATTTTATACGAATTTTTAAAACTTAATCGGCGAAAATTGCAAAATTCAAAAAAAATGTACAGTAATGACCGCGAACAATTAAAACGCTATGATTTCTGAGATCAGTTATTTATTTCAAAACATTTTATAGTTTCATCTGTGTAACATTTTCCAAAATTGGAGAGAACGTGTTGAGACTGGGATGCTGGAATGTGAGATTGTTTGATGCGTTTGAACTACAGCATCACAAGATAGACGTTCATGCAATAATGGAGAGGAAAAAAGGGACAATAAGCAGAAGAAATACAGTACACTACAATGACTATTTAATTATATACTGATGGGGAAAACCCAAATATGAAGGAGCAGCGTCAAGCGAGAAGTTTAGTAATGCTGCTTGATGAAAGATTTAGATCAGAACAAACATTGGATCACCATAATCTAGTGTTAAGAAAAAATAGAATTATAACACCATTGACGATTAATCCAACGAATTGAGAGCACACGACCCTATATGGTTGGCGTCTCGCTCAAAAAATTAACGATACGCTAATCTGGCAGTAGGATAGATAAATAATGCTTGTCTTACAAGACCCCAGCATAATATAACTATGACTATATAAGTAGTAATGAGTTTAACAAAGAAATTGAAAATGACTTATATGGAACCCAAAAACGAATCTGCAAAATCTTTAAAGCAACAAAAAGGGAAGTAAACAAACTGTATACAGAAAGAAAAGTTGTCCTGTGCCAAAGGATAAAAATTCGAGAGAGCAGATGCTGAGAATGTTCAGGAAATAGACAAATTACCACGGAGGAAGTGACGCTGCAGATGAAACAACTAAAAAACGGCAAGTGTCCAGGTCAATATCCCCAATGAGCTACTGAAGTGGGAAGGAGAAGAATTTGCAGAACAACTCACGAACCTGTATATTAAAGTACTGTAGAACGAAACAAATTCGTAAAGTTGGAGAAATAGTATTACTTGTCTTTTTACCAACGAATTTCCATCCTAAACACACCCATGAAGATGTTTTCCAGTCTTCTACAATACCACATTCCGAAGCACAGAACACCAGGCAAGGAATAACAGGGATTTCGGAAAAACTTCTAGATACTACTGCCGAGCACATTGGGAAAAGAGTTGAGGCGTAAGAGAGTGCATCCACACATAATAGAAACTATCAGAAAACTTAATATAAACAATATCACTACAATTAAAACAAAGACACTTTGCTCAGAAGAAATATCCTTGAATGTGGGCATGAGGTAGGTGACGCTGTCAGTCTCTGACTGCTCTACAACATTTAAATGGATATAATCTTAGAATAAATGCGCAAGGTTTACACGGATACAAGATGGGAAAAGACGAAATAAAGATTGTATGCTATGCAGACGCGGCAACATTGATTGCAGATACAGAGGATGAACTGCAATATCTACTACAGGCTTTTAGAAAATAAGAGGAAAAAGTCAGTATAGAGATAAATGTTATTAAAACAAAAACTATGATAATAGAGAACTCAAGAACAATGTGAGAAAATTTGTCAACAAATCAGTCAGAATAGGGGGAGCACTAATAACGTTCAATTGGGGTAACAACTGCATATCTACCGCGACCGAAGTAAACATATACAAAGACTGTGTCAAACCAATAATGACGTTTGCGGAATCGTTGGAACTACACTATGGGATCCGTGCAGAAACAAAAAAATTGGTAGCAAAGCATGACGGAATATGTGGTAGGTTAGATGAGTGCACGCAGAAGACACTGGATTGAGCAGGTTTCACAAATGGCAAGAAATAGACTGCCAAGGATTTTCCTAGATTGAAGACTAGATTCCAAAAGGCCTTGAGAGATAGCTGATCGTTCGCATAGTATGAAACGCAGGCACAACAGAATGATTAGAAAAAACTTGTATGGTTTCCGCAAAGAAGAAGAAGAAGAAGAGAACGTTGGATATTATTGCTATGGATCAATATTTAAGAATATTATGTGACAGTCATCAAATTTAAATACAGGAAGAACTCTAAGTAGCTTCAAAACCGAACATGAATTAATCAATTAATTAATGTACATAGATATGAGCTTCTACTGAGTACACACTTTCCTTCCTCAAAAGTTTGCTGCCACGCAGATGCCGACCCTGAAGTAATGGACATAACCCGTCCATCGGGTAGGGTTCGCATCATAGCTGGGAACATTTTCACACCCAAGAGAGTTAGGTGGGCTATTTCTAATTTCAAGCACCTAAAATCGCCTGGAGAAGATGGAATTCTGCCTATTTTTCTGCAAAAAGCTACAGCTTTAGCTATAGCTAAAGGGAAATATACCCACTCTATGGAGGAAAGTAAAGGATGTGTTCATACCTAAAGGTGGTAGGCGTTCAAACGCTGACCTCAAGGCATACAGACCAATTAGCCTAACTTCATTTCTCCTCAAAGGGATGGAACAGGTAATCGATCAATACCTTAGGAATGGAGTGCTTGTCACTAATCCACTCCACCCTAGCCAACATGCTTACCAGAAAGCAAAATCAACAATTACCGCTCTCCATGCTTTGACTAGCACTTTAGAGGAGGCAATTGCAACCAAAGAGCCCTATGTGCTTTCATAGACATATAGGGTGCGTTTGATAAAACCTCCTATGAATCCATAGAGAAGGCTCTAAACGTAAAAGATATACATCCGTCGACAATCAAGGGTATCTTCAGCAACGAATTGCTTATGATGTTAACTCAAGTTAAGAACTCGATTAATGGTCCCTATTTTGAATACTTTGACAAATTTAGGCAAGTTATGCATAGAAAGATTGTACCATGTACCAACATATTCAAGAAACAGGGTGAATCACATCAATAAGGGAAACTATAAACAATCCGGAAGTGGGATTCAATAAGATCAATAACATGGTGACCCATGAGAACACCACGTGTTCAACCAATAATTTTGTGAATAATTTATTAGAAGAAAATTTAAGTTAACTGTCTCAGATAGAGAGAAAATTTATTTCATTTTAACATCTTATTAAAAAGTTATTAACACAAGAAAATCCCTTTTTGTCTTATCGTGTCTAAAAACGAATCAATATTTTCAAATGAGTACTCTTTATTTACTACAATTTATTTTTTTAGGTGATCCAAGTACTGTACTTCTAACAAGAGATTATCATCAATTCATAAAAAGTTTAGAATTAACATGGAGCCGTCCGTATATCCCATTACGTTGGTTGCCAACGAAACTTTCTGAAATTGTTAAAAGAACAACAAGATTTTTCAATATCTTGACAGAGAATTTTGTTCAGTTGAGAAGTTTAAAAATGCACTGGTGGAACGATCTGACGCGATTCAAAAAAATCGTTTACCATATGTCCCTCTTCTTAAAAATCCAAGCTTGTCTGACTGATCTTTGTTTCTTTAACGCAATGCTTAACAAATGCGATTTCGTTAAATTTATCGCAAGCTGTATGAACTGTAAAATGACCGTAACCAACCTTGATATCAGAAATTCGTTTTATAACGTCGATGATGAATTGGATTCCGTTCAATTAATCGATTGTATAGAACACTTGAACGGGTTGCGACAATTAAAAGTGGATTTTCCGGTATTTCGACGCGAAATTATGCATCTGTTATCGTCTGGAAGAAATACAAGCTTAAACATGGTTGAAGTTCATGTTTTTGCAAGTGATATGATTCCGATTAGAAACAGTGATTGGCGTGATGTTTCTTTGAAGTTGAGTAATTTGAATGTTGCCTTACATTTCAGTAGGTTATGGTTAAAGATGTGTTTTTCAATATATTTCTAATTAAAGTTTTTAGTTGGTATGTTAGACTTGGATTCTGTGGTTTCGTTACTTCAACGATCGATTCCTCTTCATACATTTACGGTAACAACGGCGAGGGCTTGGCAAAATTACACCCCAAATAGTTGTAAAGAACTTTTTCGGGTTTTAACCAGCAACTATAAGAATTCTTTGGGTAATCAAAATTTATTTTTTTCTCTTAATAATAATAATATTAATATTTTTTTAGAGATAATCGATTGTAGATTATACGAAAATGTGGATACCATCGATGATATTTTATTCCACCTTTTAATTAATTGTACAAAACTTAAAAAGTTTAGTTACCGTGGAGGAATTAATACAATAGAACTGTTGATGCACGTATGTCAAATTTGGTCCGATTGGAATGGACATGTATCGATTGAAATTAATATCAGAAGAATGAATATGAGAACGCATTCAGTTTTACTTGGGATATTAGAAGAGATGACATCTAAAGAAAATGTATCAATCAAAATTAATATTGCGCGTTTTAGAAATGAATTATATTTTTATTATTGAAATTGAAATAAAGCTAGAAATGTGAGCTTAGTTATTATAGTCAGATCTGTTTAATGAAACATTCTAATAATCCTGTTATTTGGTTCAAATACAAAAAAAAACTGACTCAACATATACGCATAAATTTAGGGATTTGTTCCTCATGACAAGTAATGACTAATAGGTGAAAAAAATTGTAGTAAAAGTTTTTTAGTTTCTTAGATATTCGATGTAAGTTAATATGGAACAAGCCATCAAGAAAAAAATGGGGTATAAGCTGGCTGCTAAAACTTTTAACGTCCCCACAGCCACGTTAAGGAGAAGATTAGTCATGAATAAAGGTGCTCTTAAAGAGGGGCTTAGAGGAAAATGAGCCATTTTTTTCTAAAGATATTGAAAAAGAAATTCTTTTTTGGTAGAAATCACGTTTTTTTGGTCTAATCAGCACAGATTTGTATAAGTTGTATACGAAATAGCAGAAAGAAACTACATTAGGCATAATTTTAACAAGGAACGCAAAATGGCTGGGTGGAAATGGGTCTAATGTGTTTTAAGACGCAATCCTCGCATATCTTTAAGAAATCCCGAAAGTACCTCGTTAGCTAGGGCTGAGGCTTTCAACAAACCTAACATTTTGGCATATTTCAAGTTATTAGCATGTATTTTGGAAAAACACCAATTTTTAACATATACAATGTTTATTTTATTTGTTTTTACCTTTATCATCTATATAATTTCAGCTATCAGATGTCCACTAATTGCTTGACATTTGGACATAGCCTACATAGGCCTTCCAGAAATAATACATCCATCGCTGTTCTTTCTGTGTTAAGCCTATTTATTTACAGAAATATAGACATGAACGTGTAGGATAAATATTTTATACACAGCACAGGATAGGATTTAAAATAAAAATATGTATAATAATAGTATATTATTCAACAAGCGTACAATGGCGGCTGTTACTCACGAAGATGTAATCTGAGTGGGTAACATCCATTATACGCAAGTTGAATACTATACTTTATCTACAACTATTTAATTTTGAAAAAAAAAATCAATAGAAGGAAAAAAAATAAACTTGATAGACATTTCAGACATAACCTCAATATAAGAAAGCTGTCATTTCTGTAAATTTTTTATTTTTTTGATTAGTAGGCCGTGTCAGAACTGTGGAATAATGGCTTCATTATTCAACACTTTGTCAGTCATGAGTAGATAACGAATAGATAATTCAATAGTTATAGATAATAGTATATTATTATATGAGCATATAATGAGGGCTATTATTCACGAAGGTTAAGTTTATATCACGAGCGTAGCGAGTGGCATAATTAACCTGAGTGAATAATAGCTCATTATATACGAGTAGAATACTATACTTTATCCATGACTATTGAAATTGATTCCATAAATTAATTTTTTAAATAAATTTTTGAATAAAGGTTAAACCTCAATGTGACCCAAATTCAATGTTACTAACTGTAACCAACTTCACAACAATTTGTCAAAATTAAATATCAGTTTTATAAAACGTGGTTTTCTTTACGAAAATTAATTAATTTATGCTTAAATCATACGAAAAAAGGAATTTGTTTAGGTTTTTTTAATGTCAAACATTTAGAAACTCCTAAAAAATTGACTTAAATTGACGTTTTTTGAACTTTTAACGTTTCAAATAATTATTATTAGTCTGATCAAGATGTCTACCCGTGGATAATGATTATTATTCACCGCTATTATTCACTCCGTGAAAAATGACTAACATTTTGTTTTAGAAAACTCATTCATTAGGTATATATTATAAGGTAGTCGTGGACAAAAATAATTATAGCATTTGTGAATTGAAATTACAATTTTACCCTTCGAGCTTTTTGTTGAGCAAATAAATCTATGGCCTTGTCATAATTTAACTCGTGTGCAATTCGATTTTCTATAGTTAAAATTGCAAGACTCGATAAGCGTTCCTGGCACATAGAAGATAGAAAATAATTTTTAATTAGTTTTAGTTTACTAAAATTTCGCTCACAGCTTGCGGATGTAGTAGGAAGCGTAGAGTAAATTCGCAGGGCAATACAAATATTAGGAAAACCATCCTGCAAATCATGCGCAGAGATCTGTTGCAAGAGATAGAAACCGTTAGCCTTTTCTATATCACCAAATAAATGCGGAGTTTACTCTTTAAAAACGTAGAGTTCCTGGCAGAATTCAACGGTGCTTAAATCTCGCTCGTATTTTCGAGCCAGATCTGCTCCATACTTTTGCAGTTCTTCAATTGACATTTTCAAAATATTAGTACCATTAAAAAAAGTAAAATTCAAAACCTCTTTTTAATTTCTGATATGATTCGATCTAATACCATCATTATTTCTTTAAAAAATAGTTGAACAGGTTGGAGTGTTTGTAATTCGTCTTCACACATCTCATCGAAATGTTTTTTACGTTTCGGAATTCGTTTGTTTTGGAAAATACACTTTTTTCTGCAACTTCTCCAGCCTCTTTTATCCAATATTCCATTCGATTTTGTCTCATTTTTTGCAAAGTTTTGAGTAGACCATCCATTAGTGCGACGGAACGGGCAAGGATAATATCTTCTTTCTGAATTTCTATATTCACTCGATTGATTTCGCGGGGAATATTCGCCCAAATAGTTAAATTAAGAATAAATTTAAAATCCTTTATAGCAGTTAAGAGATGACCTGAATCGTACTTAGCTTGTGGAGCATGAGAAGTTTGCTTTACTTCTTCTAACGCTCTGCTATTTCTGGCAAATTATTTAATAGGACATTCATAGCAATATGTTTCGCCGACCACCTCGTCTGACTACTTCTATTTAAATTTGTTTTAACGTATTTTTTCATAATGTTCCACCTAGTAGTGGAGCCAACAAAAAAGCAATCTACTTTTTGACTCAGTCCAAATAGGTTAATAGCTTCCTGGCATGATGAGGCAGAATGGACACCTACAAGATTTAAGAAGTGAGCCAAGCACGGTACGAACGCGGCCAGCTCATTCCTTTCTGCAATCCTGGCTTGTACTCCTTTACGGATGCCGGCTATATTGGTATATCTTATTATCATAAGATTGGCCACGACATTGTCCAATATCTAAATCATCAACTGCCAATTTTTGTAAAGTCTGTTGACAGGAGAGGACGTCCTATCTTTACAGCAATTTCTATAAGATCAATGAAACTTTCTTTTATTTCATACACATCGCCAGTTCAGTTTTTACATATCGAATTACCTGGCTCATTTGTTCTGTATGGGATACATCTGGAGTGCAGTCGAACATTGTCGTGTAGTATTTGGCTTCTTTGATGTCATTTAAAATGCTATTTCTAACAGTTTTTGCCATTATGTTAATCATTTCATTCTGTATTGTCTTTGATAATTGAAACTTAAGAGTTGAATTATATTTTGGCGAGCAGGAGTTTCGTGGGACCCGCGAAAAGAAAGGCAGTTTGTGGACAGCATCCATAACAATACGCAGGATCTGTCTCAATTTTTCTTTCTCTGAGTGAATTACTCTCTCATTGTCTTGATCAATACCCTGGCATGATTTCATTTGTTGTACCCGTGTTTTCCACTCGATCATACACTCTTTGGACATTTGAGTTGCCTCGTGTTCGGTTAATCTTTCTGAAACTTTTTTCCAATTAATAAACCGTGTAGAACACAATGCAGATGCGGCGTTAGAAGACGGTTTCTGGTAAAACTTGCGGCATGCACAAAAAATTGCATTTTTTGTCTTAGAAAATATAAGCCAAGATCTTTTAACCCTTTCGCAATTAGCCAACGCCCTGTACCACATAGAACATACTTGTACTATTATTTATTCCGTGGTCAAAGTTTAGTAAATGATGAGTTGTCTATTCGTCGGTAAAGTGTGAATTGAAAAAATGAAACCATATCAAGATAATGGTCACTTAATCAACACTCAAGATACTTTTAATACTAAGCTAACCAGTTCAACAATCGGAGCGATCATTTAAATTATTAAAAGTAAAGCTTAGATGGTTGAAATATTTAGTGTCAGTTGGCCTCAATCTGCACAAGATGATTAGAACATAGATGATGAAAATATTGAAGTTATTGAGAATAACGAAAACGAAGAAAACATGCAAGATGAAACTGGATCTGTTGAAAATAACCAAAGAAATCTTGCTAACACATAAAAAAATAAATAATGTTTCTCTTGTATTAAATCCTGTACATATTTCTAAGAGATAATACTAATAATATTTATTTGTGCATCCAAAATATACATTTTATACACTCGTCATATAGATAAAACTTACAAAGAAAAAAAGAACAAAGCACACAACCGTCACGACCGACGGTACGACCGACGCCCAATACTACAAATACCCTTTAAAAAATTCATATTCAAGGAACTCGAAAATGATTAATATACATCGAGTCGCAAATGTTTCTTTAAAATTAATCATTATCTGCAATAAAAAGCCCTTTTTTAAAAATATTTTCAACGCCACTGCTAATTTTATCAAACGGGCAGTATTTTCGTATAAAGTGATCAATTATCTATCAATTGATCTCTTACAAAACTTTGATTAAAGCAACAGTTTTTGATTGGATTGACAAATTTTCTACAAACGTGTTTTTCTTAAAAACTATTGCTTTGATCAAAGTTTTGTAAGAGACCAATTGATAGATGATTACATGAACATACTGCCCGTTTGACAAAATTAGCAATGGCGTAGGCAATATTTTTAAAAAATAGCTTTTTATTGCAGATAATGTTTAATTTTAAAGAAAATTTGACCCGCTATATCTCGTTAAGGAGGCATTTGCGACCAAGACTTTTCATCTTCATTTTTGATGTATTACTTGCCCTAGAAGTCTGTCAGCGGTTTTTTGAATCACACTGTATAAACACCAAACACTGTCTGCTAACCAACAGATTTTGCGTTTGCCAAAATAGCTGCCGCTTGAGGTTGGTTTTGCGTTCACTAGATATGTCATAGATCTGTTAGTTATTGGCACTTCAGAGAGCAAATTAAGTTGATTGTTTTGGAGAGTGCTTTAAGTGTGCTTTAATGCTCCTCCTTCTGAAATTCTGCCTTGACAACCAACATAAGCAAAAAGGAAGCAATAATCTGCATCGGAGATTCCTAACAAAATAATACTGTAGTTTTGCAAATAATTAAAACCATGTTTACGATTTATTGCAACCAGACAATGTGGAAAATTTTTTTAAGCAAATCGGCAAAGCATATATATACAAGTGGCTTGAACTTGATGGAGATATGTGTTTCTTCTTAGTTCGTTTCTAGAGCAGAAGAGTAGCTTTCCGTTATTATTAAGAATTGTTTCGTTGTATTTCTGTTTTATTCCCCTCACGGCATCAATTCGGGCATTAAGATCTCCGAGTATTAACACTTTATTGTGTGTATGAAGCCTATCTATTGTTTCTTGGAGTTGTTTATAGGAATACGGTTACTTCGAGTGGTTTTGAGATGTAAAGCGCATAAATGCTTATTAGGTAATTCAGTTAGTATACCCTTCCATTTTGAAGATGAAAATCTTTTCAAAGTATCAATTGTAAATAAATGCTGCAGAGTTAAATATGTAATAACTTTAAAGTCAAGTAAATCCGTGGCAACTATCATTTTTTCTGGACAAATTGATTACATTTTATAAGTCGCGACAAATTAGAATATTAAAACCAACGTTAAATTTATCTCATAAATAAATAGAGGTGGAAGAAGCGAGCATGAAACACAGATTATCGCTGCTTTATATACCTAAATTTACTTGAATTAAAAATTCTGATATTAAAATAATGTAGAACTTGGTTGGATTGATAATTAGAAAAAAAATTAAATAAAGTAATATTAATTATAAAATAAAGTGTTTTCATTTATATTATAAGAGTGTCATTTAATACCTTGCGCTCTTCGAATGTTCGAAATATTTGGGTTTTCCCGAATGCATTAAAATGTGAAAGTATAAAGATATATATTATGTATACTTGGTTCTTAAACATAATAGAGGAATTATAGTAAAAATTGATGAAAAGTAGAATTTGGAAATATGTATTAAAATGCACATTAATTAACAGTATTAAGGAAATAATTTTCATTTTAATGTATTCATAAGTGACTAGTTCTCGTCTTAAAAAAACGACCTTGAATGTTTACCTCCGTGTTTATTACATACCTTAGCAGTAGTCTATTTCCACGCAACACATTGTGTTTTGAAACATGTTACGTGTAAGTGTTGCGGTTTCCGTGTTGATGATACCGTCAATTTCCGATCAGTTAATATGGATTTACGATTCTATATTTTCGTTGTAGCCAATTTCTTGGTATTTCCTGACGATACTCTCTCTTGGCCTGAGGTAATTTACCAGTTTTTATTTGTTGTTATAATGGAGATTTTAAAGGTTACTTTTCCCCTTTTATTTTCTGAATCATATTGTTTGTTAATACATAAAAAAATTGTCTAACTTTTATATTGTATAGGATAATGAGAAATCAACAAGTGAAGAAATAATTCCTAGCGATTATTGTAATACTGAAAAAACTACATTCGGAAACAAAACGTTAACATGGAGAAGAACTCAAGTTGGTGTCACCATGTATTCGGATGAATTTTGTGCAAATGCGGAAGGTAGAGTTGCTGAAAGATATTGTGAAAGTGATGATACGTATGGAGCAGTTTGGGGAAATGTTAATGGAAATTGTTCCGGAAATTTTGAAACTTCAGAAAAGACCGACCAATTGCATAAAATTTTCCTTAATTATATTGTTGATGGTCACGCGGATTACAGCAAATTAAGACCAATTTCAGAGGATATACATAAATTTACTTATGTTGATCAATACTTATTATCTAGGTAATTATTTTATTGAACATAAAAAAAATTAAAAGAGCCCAAACACGATTATCCTCAATAGTAGCTATATGTAATAATGAGATTAATATGTAATAAGAAATTAGGTGGTGTCTTGATGATTTCTAAACTAATTTTTTACAAATTATTCTGTTTTGATGAAAATTGTTAATGAAAGAAAAAACTGTTTTATAGAAAAGTTGTTTGACTCACTACTTTCTATAATGTACACTTATTTTCATTTATACAGGGCGTTGCATTTTGAAGCAGGACTTTTCTAAAAAACTATGCAAAAATGACATTTTTGCCTTTGGTAGAAACACTATACAGAATGTTCATACAACTTAGTAAATTTTGATGTTTTCCAAATAGGTTTTCAATAAATTTTTTACATGGAACACGCTGTTTGTTCTGTGGTGTTTAAAATGCTCATCAAGGACCCTTTGTCTTCAACGGCATAATCATTGCAATAATGCTTAAGTAAGTACGGCGCTTAGAGGAACCTTGTTTATATGGTGCTAGAACTGAATACTGAAAATGATCAAGCCATGTAAGATTACGATCCGCCATATTTGTAATAGATTTGGATGTAAACACTAGTACTAGCACAAGACCTAGAACTACAAACTTTCGGGTTAAGTGACTTTGAAAATCGTTCTGAAGAAGGTTGCACAATGGCATCCGAAACATTAAACACTTTTTCAAAAGACGCACGGCTTAACTCGAAAATTTCTAGTTCTAGGTCTAGTGTTAATTCTAGTGATAGTGTTAGTGTTAGTTCAAGTTCTAGTTTAATTAACACCGGCCGTGAAAGCCTTCTTACTTAAAATAGTAACCTTTTAGTAATTTTATATATTTTTTATAGGTATATAGTTTTAGTTCTCTTCTAGTAATTTTTTTGATATGATAATCGTCAAAAACATTCTCCATACATAGAGGAATTTCGCAATATGTACTTAAAACATATTTCTCTTGTTTAGCGTTATTTTTTGCAAACTCTGAACGTCTTTGAGGAACCTTTTTTGCCTGAAGAAGTATCTTTGACAATCCTATGTTGTCTCATATTTACCGAAGGCCTAATTGACGCATTTTCGCTATAGGCTCTTTTAATTAAAGTATCAAAGCCATTTTAAAATCACTTTTAGTTCTTGAGAAATACAATTTTGAAATAATCGACATTTTTTTCGAATTTTTGCAATTTTCGTCGATTAAGTTTTAAAGATTCGTATAAAATCCACTTCTTGGAATATGAGTATGAAAATTTCCCAAAGTGTTCTTATTCACACTTTGGGAAATTTTCGTTGGGAAAGGATCAAATAACGCAATAATGTGGCAAGTTGGTTTCTTTCTATTAATGGTTTAATTAAATCTCTTAAGGAAGCGTTTTTCGAAGACTTTTGAGATGACTCGGAGCAAAGAAATTGGTTTGTCATGCCATTTTATGTGGTATTATGTTTGGCTTATGTAGGTATCATACTTACCTCCGCAATTTTCCACATATTAGATACGTGCTGTAAACGAAATTGCATTTATTAAACGTGTCAATGTATGTATAATAGGTTTTTTGGGAAGACTTTTTAAAATATCTTCTGTAGTAAAATTAAAGTTGTGCTTTCTATGCATTCATTTTCTACTTAATTTCTTTAGCAATTTTAGTAGATGTTCTATACATGCATTGGGAATAATAGATTCTTTGACTTCTTCACCACCGAAACTTATATTATTTGGCTGAAAGATCTTTTTTAAGTGGTAATTCTGCCTTTTATTTATTAGGTGCTACTCATGTTTCATTATCAGCTCTGATGCTTTCTTGTTGCTCACTATAATGAATAATTATTATAATGTTAAACTAGTTGTAAAACATTACAAAAAACTTACAAATTGTACTTGGAACAGCGAAAAATATTAAAAATTAGCCACGACGCAATCCATGTGAGAACCACAAAGGTCGAACATCGGTCAACGAATAACCGAGAAAACAAGTTTTTAAATGAAAACACGTGTCCCACGTGAAAGGTGAAGAACACTATAATTTAAATTCAAAAATTTAATTCAATAAACACTAAAACCGATATGTTACTTGTTTGTAGAAATTCAAGCCCTGAAGAAGCTTTAATACAAAAGCGAAATATAGGCATATGAAAAAATAATTGTCGTTTCAATGGTTCTCAATCCTATCCTGGAAATAAATTTATTGTTCGAGTTATTTATTAAATAATCAATAAAATAACATGAAATTAAAATATTGTATTTAAAATTTAAATATTTGGCTCAAAGTTGCAAAGAATTATCCTTAGATCGCTACGTTTAATCTATTTCTCTATTTTCGCTAGAAGTCGTTTAGGTAGCTGAAACCAGCTTCTACTAAATAAGAACTTGGGAAACCCAATAATAAGGATCTTGTTTTAATTCTATTATTTCCGCCTGCAGAGAAAAATCTAATTCCGTCGTTTCACATTGAAAGGGATCAGTCATCCATGAAGGTATTTCCAAGGATTTCAGATGATTGAAACGAATGTTTATGTCTTGGTGTGGATGAGGTTAATATCCTTTCCTTGCAATTTATATTGGACGTTATTGAAATGCGAAAACCGCAACAAAAATACATGGCGTTTTAACTCCAATATTTTCATTCTTTGATGTTTGTCGTTTTCAAGTAGAAATTCTACCACTGAATCGAAAATGTCAACAAGCCTTTGTAACCAATAATTACCCTTGGATAACTAACGTGCTTCTGTGTGGAATAGCAAATTATTATACATTTCATCGTTTTTATCGCATAGTTGGGCAAAAAGTTGGTCATACAAAGGTTTGGATTTGATTTTGTTTATAGCTTTTATAAAAAAATTCAAAATGAAGGTTTCCATTTATTTTTTTTGCAACCAAATATTGTCTGTATAGCACACAATGCATCGTCTGAATGTCGTTATTAAACTTTTGTTTCCACAGGGCCAAAAATAGGTATTTCAAACTTATCAGACATTTTTAACACATGAAAATATATGTTCTCCTGTTGAATATGCTTTCAATTGCTCCGCAGTAAGGAATTCTTCAGTAATTGCTTCTTTTTTATAAATCAATAATATATGAACACTGCTGTTGCTCAAAGCAATGCTTTTTAAGACTGAATGTAAGGATATTTTTTACTTATTACCTCTTTCAATGCAGGCAATATTAATTGTTTTCTGCGACAGTATGAGGATTTAGTGATGGGCATAATCGAATGACCATAATCGATTAACCGATTATACACGATCATTCGAGATATCGATTATAATAAAATAATCGAATGAAATAATCGAATAAAATAATCGATTATTTTTCCATTCGATTATATTTCTATTCGATTATTTTTTCATTCAATGTTGAAAGTTAAAATAAAATTCTATATAAAATATTGACTGACATACTACTTCAAGGCTGTTTTGGGAATTTACCGACTTCTCTGAATGTCTCATTTTAATATTTAAATTAAATAGAGCCTCAAATGATTAGTAGAATCCACGTTTTATGTTTGTATTCATTACTAGTTGTTTAATATGAAGTAAAAAAAGGATGATTATTTGATTCCCCATGATAATATGGAGGATGGTCAGTCAAAATACATATTTCAAAGAAAATATTTATTGCACTACATATTACTATTTAAAAACATGATTTCGTTGATCATATTGCTGCTTAACCTACTCCTTCTGTCCTTTGTTCTCTCGCCTGCTTTTGAGAATACCCTCTCAGATGGCACTGATGTTGCTGGCACGCAGAGGTACTTATTTGCAAGTTTATGTAGTTCCGGGAATATCTCTTTCTTGGACTCCCAAAAGTCTAAAGGATTCAGCTTCCTATCTACCAATGGTAGGTCTAGGTACTGCTTCATTTGTGCTTCGGCAGAATGTGTAGGTGTGGACGCGCTGAATTCCTGCTTAGCCTTTATATCAAAATGCTCCCAAAGTAAACTAGCTTGGTTCTCGCTGGAATCTAAAATTTATATTCAAATATACTCTATTATCGAACTATTGCAATGACAAACAAAAAAAAAACTTTTAACGAAAATGAGTTAACAGTAATAATTTACCTGCACGCCCCTGAGTACAAGGTATTTCAGAATTTGGAGTTTCCAGATGCTGAGTGATAGTCACAATCAAATCCTCTACTTCTTGTGTAATCCATTTAAGGGCTTGATTACCATTTATTACCTTATCGAAGGCCAATATCTTTAATCTGGGGTCCAATAATGTCGCCTTTGCACAAATTTTTGAAGATTCAACATAACCCAATCTCCTCAATAGGATATCATGAAAATTAGTTTGCAATATCTTTCCCGTGGAAGTTATTGGTTGTGCATTCTCAACAGCGTGTTGGACACCACGAATTAAGGGGACGATAATGGACAACGTTATATATTTTTTTCCAGACAACTCGGAAGTCATAGCTTCAATAGGTTTTAAAATAAATATGCAGTCTTTAATTATTAGTGCCCAGTCTTTCGATGACAAAAGTGAAGGTGATCCGGGAAGATTGGACATTGCTGCTGACAACGGAACTTTTAATTCCTCTAATCTTTGCATCATCGCCAAGCAAGAATTCCATCTTGTTGAAACGTCCTATTTCACTTTTGGCAGAGGAAGTTTCATTTGATCCTGCATTTTGGCCAGTTCACCAGATGCTACAGTGCTTCTTTTAAAGTGTCCCACAATATTTTTGCATTTCTCGAGCAATTGCTGTAGATCTGTATGTTTGAGGGTGTCCATGGTACATAGGTTCAGCGTATGTGCTATGCAAGGTTGGTGAGTCTTATTGAGATGAACAGTGATAGCGTTTCTCATATTTGAAGCGTTATCTGTTACAATACAGTGAACTTTTTCAAAGATATCCCAACTTTCAAAAACTTCGCGAAGTGCGCTGGCAACATTTCCTGCTGAATGACGATCAACCAATTGTTTTGTTTCCAGTAGGTAACTGTTCAATTGGCTTCTGTTTATATAATGAGCAGTAACTGCCAAAAATGCTTTCGTAGATGATGATGTCCATATATCTGTTGTTATAGACGAATTTGACGACAAATTCAACTCATTTTTTACCTTACTCAACGTCGCTGTATATATATTTGGTATCAGGGAAGTTGTAATTTTTTTTCGACTCGGTAAGTCATAATGCGGATTAAGTTTATTTGTATATTTCATGAACCCCTTATTTTCAACAATGGATAAGGGCTGAAAATCAGAAACTATAATTTCAACTAAACTTTGATCTATTTCGGTTTGCTCATTTTCTGAAATATTGTATGTTTGTGTTTTTCCGTAAAGAGCAAGTTGACGTTTACGTTTGGAAGGCGGTGGGTGTATTATAGAATGTTGTGAGGAAGTTTCAGTTGTAGAAGTTGACGGGAGTGTACCTAGAATTTCTTCTCATGATGTATCTTCAGAAGGTTTAGATTTTTGTAATAATAAGGCTGGGTGCTTTCGTTTTAGGTGTTCACTTAAATTTGTAGTATTGCAAAAGAATTTAAATTCTCGCTTACATTCACTACACATTGAGACATCTCCTCTTCGTACAAAATGATCCCAGACGAAGGATCTCTTTGCAGTTTGTCGCGGCATATCATTAAATCTTAATAAACACAGAACAATACACAAACACTTGACCTGGTTGCAAAACAACACAACAATACTGCCGAGTAGTTTGTGCTCGAGTGAACAACGAACGTAGTTCGGGTAGGGGTCTGCACGTGTATATACATCGAGTTTCAAAGAATTCGGTAAATCCCCGAAACAGCAATCTGAAGTAGTAATACCGTAAATATTTTAGATAGAATTTTATTTCAACTTTCATCATCGAATGGAAAAACAATCGACTATTTTATTCGATTATTTTATAATTGATTATTTTATTCGATTATAAAATAATCGATTAATAATCAAATAATCGATTAATAATCGATTATTCATATACCTCGATTATGCCCATCACTAATGAGTAGGGATGGCCAAAAAATATGAAACATCGATGTTTAGATCATTTGATATATCGAACGTGCAATATCGATATGACAAAAACATCGAATAAAAAACATCGATGTTTCTCGATGTTTTATTCGATATATTATTCAATGTTTTATTTGCTGTAGTATTTAATGCTTTATTCGATATGAGTACATATTATTCGATGTTTTATTCGATCTATTCGCTGTTTTACTCGATATAAGAAACATCGATGTCTTTTATTTGATTTTTTTTTTAAGTAAAATGTATCTATAAATTTTTAAATCATTTTATTAAAATAAACTGAACATTTTTAATACCAACAACAAAAGATATCTACTAAATCTACTAAACAAGAATAACAGAATGGAATAAAACTAAAAAAATAATTTATCACAAGAATTTAAAAATAAAAGTTTTGATAAGCGTTTTCCTTTAAGCCTGCTTCGCTGTTGCGTCAAAACTTGACCGGCTTTTGAAAACAGCCTTTCTGATGGAACCGATGTGGCTGGTATGCTTAGGTATTTTGGGGCAATTTTGGCCAATGTTGGGCAAATTCCTTTAATATCGTCCCATAATTGTAAGGGATTTTGTTCAAATTTCTTTAATGGGCATTTGAGATAATGCGCTATCTCTGAAGTGCCATCGTTGTTGCTGTTATTCATTTTTTCTACCATTACGTGATGCTGACTCCATAAATTAAATTCTTCTTCTAAAAACAAAAAAAAAGTAATTAATCTAATCGGATTTAATTAAAAACTTTACCTTCGTCAGGAATGTGATGAGAACCTACAGGCGCAATTTGTTCTGCAGCTAATGGTGATGTCAGTGATTTTACAATTGTTTCTAGATGGTCAACAGCTGTTGAACATGCTATTAAGTTTTGAAAGTGTATTTTTTTAAATCTAGGATCTAAAATTGTTGATACAGCCATCAAACGTATCTCTTCAACATTACCAAATCGTTGGTTAATTTCTAATGTTAAAGATTTTTGTAGATCTTTTGCTATCTGCAAACTAGAACTCATTTCAGAAATTTTTTTACTTAAACAATGTATCATTGGAATAATTTTGCTGGCAGTTACATAATTTTCACCGCAAAGTTCTTTTGTTGCAACTTCTAAGGGTTGCAACAGTCTTGTAACTTCTTCTATTTCTTGAGTTTCAAATGCGGTTACCATAGCCGGTGCACTAATGTGATTACTAATTATTTCATTAATAATAGATCTTAGTTCCAAGAAGCGTTTTAGCATGTAATATTTTGAATTCCATCTAGTTGGAACTTCTTGAATAAGTTTTTTTGGTGACCGTCTTCTTAATTCATCACTTGCAACAATACTGTGTTTAAACCACGTAACGATTAACTTTACTTTACCAATCAATCCTTTTAAAGTTCCCGTATTGTCAATAGATTTTTCAGCCACCAAGTTTAATGTATGTGCACAACAAGCCATGTGAACATGTTTCCCAAATGCTATGTGTACTGCTTTAACTATGTTAACCCCATTATCGGTTACAACTGCAGTAATTTTTTCTTTTGGAATGTTCCACTGATTGCACGTTTCCATTAATTTTTCGGCTAAATACTCTGCTGTATGGCGATGTTCTAGATCACAAACTCCTAAAGTAAAGGAAAACATTTTGCCATCACTTGCGTAGTGCACTGTGATTCCCAGGAAACTTCGGGTTTGCATAGTATCACTCCAAATATCAGTCGTAATTGCAACACTGTCTACAAATGATAACTTTACCTTAACAACTGACTCCAGAGAGTCATACTTTGCATCTAGCCTTCGCGTTAAAGTTTGTCGGCTAGGTATTTTGTATTGAGGCACAACAAGTTTCATTAATTGTCTAAAACCTTCAGATTCCACAATACTGAATGGCTGCATGTCTTTACAAATCATAAATAAAATAGAATTTGTAATGGCATTAAATTTTTCGCCACCTTCTCCAAAAGATTTAATCTCTTGAAAATTTTTCGTAATTAATGATTGACGCATGTAATTTGTATTAGTTGTAACTGCACTTGCCGACGATGGCCGACTTTCATCAGAATCTTGTTGAGAAGTTCCAGGAAGATCACTTTCTGAACATATATCCATCGTTTCTTCAGATCCTAATTGTTCAACACTTTTCTTCATTATAGTTTTGTGTAATCTATTGAGATGCCCTATCAAATTTGTGGTGTTACCTGATGTTTTTATTTTTTTTTCACAGTAACGACACACCGCATATCCGTCTTTTGTTTTGTTAAAGTGTTTCCAAACTACACTTTTTGGTGGTGCCATATTTTTAAAATCAATCGCCTTCTCAGTTTACTAAATGGTTCTATCGGAAAGTAAATAATAATATTAGCAATACTGTTTTAACGTATATTCACGACAATCACGACACCACTGACATGAGCTCTAGACGACTAGACTATCGTCTCGATCGATAGACTACCACAGCTCACAATGTATAACCGCAATCACAGCCCGTATTGGTATAAAAATCGACGCTGATTCACTCGATCCTAGACAGGAATAGACAGGTTTGAGGTTATTCATAATTTCTTGAACCACCAACAATCTTTTCCAGTTATAATAAACGAATCAATTATAACGATTATTATTAAAAATAATCTCAAACGGTTTAAACTCAACACAAACTTTTTAGAAAATTGCAACATCGAATAAAATATCTAATAAAACATCAAATAATATGTACTTATATCGAATAAAGCATTAAATAAAACAGTAAATAAATCATTGAATAATATATCGAATAAAACATCGAATAATATATCGAATAAAACATCGAATAAAACATCGAATAATATATCGAATAAAACATCGAATAATATATCGAATGAAATATCGAATAATATATCAAATAAAACATCGAATAATATATCGAATGAAATATCGATATATACCGATATAATCGCAAGAAAAAATATCGATTTAAAACATCGAATATCGAAACGAAAAAATCGATATTTTTATAACATCGATACATCGTGGCCATCCCTACCCATCACTAATGAGGATATCCTCTTTTCGCAATTAAATGACAAATGTTATAAGATGCTATTAATTTATTTTTGAACGTAAAAGAATTTTTAAAAATAGAAAATGTAACAAATTTAAATATAAATGTAACAAAATTATAAAATATTTTTTTAAGACAATTTATGTATGGGCTAATTTTTGTTTTAATTTAATTTTTTCAAATAAACTTATACTATATTTTTTTCTAGAGCTTTTTACGCAATGACTTTAGAAGATCACCTCCCAAGATTATTACAGAATTACGGTCCAATTCTAAATAACATAATGGAACTAAATATAAGTGATGTCGAACAGAAATTCAAAATGTTCGAATCTTACAATTTCACTTTAGCCGGAATAAACGTCTTTTTTAAACGAATCGCGGACGAAATACACAACTTAACGTGTATACACGAAGCGCATTTTGTATTTGAAATTTCGAATCCGTTTTTGGAAAACATCTCGGGATTCGGACTTTATAAAACATCGCCGTCGGATTCATTTCTCAATTATACAGTGAAAAAAGTTTATACAAACGAAACCCACGATAATTTAGATACTGAAAATCTTGAAGTGGCGGGATATGTTTCAAAAGATTTTTTGGATTACATCAGTTATCACAAAACGGAAGAAGAAAAAAGAAAAATGAAAATACTCATCGCAGCATTTCATCGAAATAAATTATTTAATTCTACAATTGTTAGTAGGATAATAGCGGTGAGTATTTCGAATTTTTGTAGCCAAGAAGATGTAGCTTTATTTGATATCTTTTTAAAACCAAATTCACAAACTTCCGGGGAGTGGTTTGTTATTCAAAATAAAGATATTTACAATGGGGATACTTCAGAGTGTTCTTCGGCTCCAATTACATACATGTTTCTTTATGATGATAAGCAAAATAAAATCAACGATGAGTGTAAGACTTCCAGACGATTTCCTTTCGCTGAGGTGAACGTTCATAATTCATTAGCTGGCGATGTTCATTATCACGATGATAATTCACAATTTGATATTTTATCGAGTTTTTCAATGTCGATAAATTATGCTCAACCTCAAACGGTAATAGAAGCGTTATACAAAAGACACGATTTAATGTTACGGACTATAATGATTTTCGGGTGCATTTTATCATTAATGGGAGTTACCGGTATGTTGTTAACTGTTTTATTAATTAAGCGTTGGCATCAAAGGAGATGGTTTAGTCTACAATTAATGATTAGTATGGCGTTGGAAACTGTATTATTTTTGGCGAGTATTGAAATATCTTATGTAGCTTCGATAATTCTTTATTACTTTATATTAACGCAATTTGCTTGGATGATGTTAATCGGGTACACTCAATACAAAAAGTTTGTTCAGATATTTCAAGGAGATGAGATATCGATTATTAAATCTCTAATAATCGGTTGGATTTTGCCGTTAATTGTAATCATAATTCCTTTATGTATTTATCCGGAATGCCTTCATTGCCAATCTTGTACTGAAAACGGCGTTGTAATCATTTATTTTGTTATTTTACCGACGTCATTAATTATTTTAGGGAATATTATTATTTATGTTTTAATTATGTGGAACATTTCGAGAAGTAAATGCCAAGATTTCGGTGTTAATATTAGCAGAAGACAAACGCGACTCGCTTTGTTATTGCCGTTTATGTTAGGATTAACTTGGGTGTTTTTATTCGCCTTGGTTTCACCTTGGACAACATTCGCTCTAATCGGTTCTTATCTATTTCACATTGTTGCACCCATACAGGCTTTCGTACTATTTATTTTTATCGTAATTATGGATGCCGATACAAGAAAAAAATGGAAAGGAATTTTATCATCTTACAAAAAGAATAAAGTACATCCTATTAAGTCACCAAATCATAATAATAATAATAATAAAAATAGTGATAAACCTGTTTCTTAATCTAAAATAAAGATGTTTTTAAATATAATTGTGTTTTATTTAAAATTTTTAAATAACATTTTGAAAAATTTGTTGAGTTAGGCTACCAAATTAACTTCTCGGTTTAGAGAACTGATATTTCAGCTCACATTTTCAACAACTAAATAATAGATGGAAGCAGGTATTCTACCAAATAATATCTATCATCTAAAATTCAATTTTTTGACCTCTTTAAATTTTTGTATTGATCACTATTTAATAGAAAACAAAAGGTTCAACAATAATAAAAGATTTACGATTTAAAAAGGCCACTAAAATAAGATTAAGATTATTTTATAATATATTTTCTATTGAAACAATGCATTGTTTAGGATATCCACTGGTATATCATCGATTACAGATCAGCGAGCTCATCATTAATCAATAGTCGGAGTAGATGTGAAGGTAAAGAAAGAAAATGGGTCCGCTTAGTCCGCTACCGGACCCGAAAGGATGCGATAACATCATCGTTCGCGGACAAAACGAAACGAAAGTACAAAGAATAATTAGTTGCCTCATAGACGGCGGATTAACATAACAATGCGACGATCCATTTATATCGATCGACGAAAAGGAAGAGAGAGAGCACGAATGAAAGAACGTTTTTCGGTCTTTAGAATCTGGATCCACGCCCATCCCTCATTTTCGGCTAATGGCCACGTCACTCATGATGTCTTATTAATATCGAATCTTTTTTCGGGATTCGATAAGTGAATGAACTTAAGTGAGTGGAGAGTAAGCATGTTTTGAGCGAACACGCATCAATGAAGAATAGAAGACTATTTTATATAAAAGTAATGGAAATCTATTTCATAACAGAAAAGGGTATTTTAATTTATTAATTAACTGTACAGGGTGGGCCAAATGGGCACTTTTAAAGAGAAACTCCTATTTCTATAGGAAAAATGATATCAGTGTCTGAGGCTCGATTTTTATGAGAAACTTAAAGGCGAAAGCCGCATATCGATATTTCTTACGGTTTCAGAGATACAGGCTGTATTTCAAAAAAGTGCATTTTCGAAAAATCGTCATAACTTTTTTCTTATTGATAAATCTTTTGGAAAGGAAATTTTATGTTCTCGTCGAATTAGCAAAAATATATAGGATGTTACTGACTAACTGCTAAAATATTGCTTCCAAAAAATCATATTATTTATGTGCGTATAATAATTAAACAATTCCACAAAGATTTAGATCTAAAATATAGAAATTGTTTCGAGTACTCTCAGAGAATTATAAAACCTTTGCCATATGATAAGATCCTCTACCGAAGCCCAAAGATAACCTTCAAGAATCTTTTAAATTTGTAAACTAGGTATCAATTCTGGAATGGAACCAACCCACAAAGATGATTCAAACGACAAGATATGAATACATTACAAAAACTAGTCAAGCAACCGTTAGGACGGCAAAGAGCTGCTATTTATCGCATTATGGGATAATAAAAAAATTCTTAAGACCAACCTATATTTAGTAATTTAAATGATAATACGAATCAAAAAATAAATACGTAATAAGTTCTGCTAACATGACTGCTAAAAATAGCAGAATAAAATAGAAAAAGATGAGCCTAGAATCCTCGTGAAACTACTTAGGTTTTCACATTAATTATTAAAATAAATTTACATTTTGGGAATGAACAAAGCGGTCAAAATATCAGAATTATAGGGAAAAAACATTTATTGATGTTTCCGCGAAACTTTTCTTGCAAACACCATTTAACACCATCAGAGCTGGGCAGTAGTTAACTACTTTTTGTGTAAAAGTAGTTGTACTCTAACTACTTTCGTTCTATTAGTAGTTATACTCGATTATTTTATGTTGGCATAAAATATTCGCAGAAAGTAGTTAGCTCCTCATTGTTAACTACTTTAGGTATTCTAACTATTTTTGTGATTGATGATTGAATTTATTTTCATGAATGATGATTCTCTTGAGGCTATAATTGCGTCAGTAATGATACCGTCCATTAAACTGAGGTGGCTGAATGTTTACCAGGAAATTGATCATACAGTAAACCAAGAATTGTTCTTAAAACTTATTATAAACAAATGTTGTGGTTTATTTGATGATGATGTTTTGGAAGGATGTGATGATAACCTAATTTGAACAAATGTACAACCTGGAAATAATGTTTTTGGTTTCAAAGAAGATGAACATTTAAAAAATTATGATAAATAAAAAAAAATATCCGAATCAGAAAAAGATTTAGTAAGAAATAACTTGGATTTAGTGTTATTACAGTACATGAAAGATAGAAGGACTAATAAAGAAATGCTCCATGATTATAAGTTAATTAAACAAGTATTTATAGAATATAACACTAACTTATCATCATCAGCTGCAGTTGAACGGATGTTTAATTTTGCAACTTTGCTTAATTCATCAAGAAGACATGCTATCGCTGACAATCTTTTTGAGCAGTTGGTTTTTTTAAAAGCAAACTTAACTTAAAAGTTGCTTTCAAAGTTACAAGATTCTACGTTTATTTGTTTATTATACATATTTTATATTTTTTAAATAACTTTAAATTTTTAAATAATCTTAATACCTACCTCATAAGTTCCAGTGTTGTGTTTTTGTACCAAAAGAATCTGACTTTTAAGTATAATTTATGTATAACTATTCAAACAGTTATTAACTGCTAACTAGAAACTAGTTACCTTTAAAATAAGCTTTATATGTATAATAAAAAGTTGTTTATTTTATTTTGTATTTATTTATTTATTATTGTAGACTTTTTTATGTATTTTTGCAGTTATAGTTAAAAAAGTAGTTAGATATTTAACTACTAACTACTTGGTAATAAGTAATCTAAGTACTTGTGCAAACGCGTGATCGTCGCCTGTTATACACCACTAGAAAGAGCAGAAAATTTCCGATAAGATAGATATACTTCTATAGTTTTCCCAATATCAAATAACAAAAAGTTGTTTAGAAGAACAGCGTTTCTGCGTGATGTATATTAAGGGTGATTTAAGTATGACGACGATAGATATTGACCGACGAAAACCCGGATTAAGGTAGTTGAAGGAGCGCTCTTTCTCACTGTGATAACAGTTTTATAAAATTCGGTTTTATAACAATTGCACAAGGGTTTGAAGTTTGGTAATTTTGAGCTATTTTAAGTACAGAGCTATCTCTAATAATAAGGAATTTAATATTCTTAAAAATAATAAATCACCGAATTTAAATATGATTCCCAATTCGTATAACTGTGCATTACCAATAAAACATTTAAAATATGAAAATGTTATGTTATTAGCTAAGCAATATGTAGGAAAAACTGAAATGTATTTTTATCGTTCGCTGAAAAGTGATAAAAACTCACATTCGATTCAGTTACCGACAGCTCTTCTGAGGAAGATATTTGATATCTGTTACGTGTTGTTAAAAATTGTTGTTTATTTTGTTTGATAAAAGTGTTTGTTCACCTCCTTTTAAATAATAAAAAGTTTTAAATGTTATTTAATCCTTTCTCCAACCTCTCACCAACAAAATTAAATATGGATTCACATCCCCTTCTTGCACCACAATTTGTTTTTTTACTATGATTTCACAATATATGGAAAAACTAACATTTGCTCAGATAAAATTGTCATTCTTATTTATACAAATCAAATAGGTAATCACTTTAAACACAAACATGAAATTAAAAATTTTTTTGCCTTTACTGAACAATTTACATATTGTTACTTATCCCATTCTTGCACCAGGCTCTTCAATTTTTGTCCTAAATATAACGTCCAACGGATCGAATCGGAAAAGATGGTACGTTCCAGACAGTACGTCGCGCCTTTATCTTACCTACATAAAGAAATAAAGGCGCGACGTGCTGTCTCTGGAACACACATCAGGACCATGTTTTCCGATTGGACGAAATCCTCCTCTCCCTGCATGACGTATTTCTGTTCCTTTTTAATTTATAATTCGCTTAAATCACTCTAATAAAATTAAAAAGACATAACTTTGAAAAACTGATAACGGTATCTGACAAACGCAATTATTTGTCAAATTTTGGTTAAAATCGCGTTGAAATCCACCCAGTCGTTTTCAACATAACGGCGTCCAACTAATAAGTAATGTTCACTTTAAAGCTGTATTGGCTAGTTGCCTAAATGCATTGGCAATTATTTCCACATTAAAATATCAAAAGTATTTGCTAGTATTCGCCACATCTGTTCCAAGTTCTTTTTCATATTATATTCGTATGACCACATATTGATAAATATATTACAGTGCAATTCCCCTATCTCGAACTTCTACATCCCGAATTATCCTCTAAGTCGAATAATTTTCGTAAGCTCAAGCGTTTTACTAAGTTCCAAATGTGTTTTTATCTCTGTAAGTCGAATTTCTCTGTAATTCAAACTGAACTATTATGGAATTTCTTCAACTTTTACTTTTATAAGTCGAATTTACCAAAGAATCAGATGAGGGTGATGATAACCTTGAAAATGGAATACTTATCGCTCTGCCTATATTCGATGAAGCTTATTCTTCTCTTATAAAGCTTGAAACCTTTGTATTATCAAGAGAAAATGTTCCAGATAATATTCATAATTCTTTACATTTAATAGAAGATTTTTTCGACAAAAAGCGGTTGTCCACTTTAAGATAAAAGAAAATTACGGATTACTTTAAAAAACTTAATTAATTTTCTACTTACAATAGTATTAAGGTTTCTGTTTTAAATATACGTATTAGAAAAGTACATTTCAAATTTTTTTCTTTAGAGCTGAAATTCTACTAATTTTTCTTTAACTCGAATTCTCCATAACTCGAAGTTTTCTTCTGCTCCCTTAGTAATTCGAGTTAGGGGAATTTCACTGTATATAGTATTTATATTAAATATAGCAGCTATAATAAAGGTCCTAAGTGTACATGTATATTTTATTATGCCACGGTAAGTGGAAATAGCACTACACTACAACTGCTGTGCACAGTTTTAGGATACTTTACCTGTAGCACTAGTTTTATCAAATGAAAATGCTACCAATCATTCAG